CTGTCCCCGACAAGTAAAAATGAAAATTTATTTTTAATATAGTAGACAAGTAAAAGTGAATGTCATGAGTACGTGGCTTGCTGATAAGGAAAGAGAGCAACCACTATAGGATACCTTAAATTTTCATGTGGTACATGAATAGAGACTGACCAGCTTCATCACAGAAATTGGAAAAACAAAAGTGATAGTGAAAGTACGAGAGTCAAATCATTTATTTCCGTGTCAATTCAAGAATTAATAATTAATAAAGTTGCAACTTTTTATAATTAAAAAAAAATACTACAAGTAAAAAACTGTTCCATTCCAAAATACTAATAATTGTCCTACTTTTGACACACAATAATATATTTTTGCCAACTAGAGTAATATAATTTGAATGAGTAAAGATATTTTTTTTACCTGAATCACAGGCAATGTAGGTGACTGTAGATCACGGAGCACATTCTTGAAAAATCTCTTCAGTCTAAATCTGTACAATTTGGCATCTTCAAGAGTCTCTGTATCACTCTCACCTTGGTACCACAACGCTTAAGCCCTGAAGCGAGGCTCAAAACATGTTGTGCGCTCCGCCTCGCTTTATGTGCGCTTCAGTGTGTCATCAAGGTTTTAAGGCAAACACTTCCTTGCCAATGAGCCTCTTATGGAGAAGTGAAACTAAATGATTGATATTTCACTTTATCATATTTTTTTTTTCAATTTCTTTGGTCATATATTTGTCATTTATGTTTATAATTATTAGTCTTAGACTAAACATATATATTTGTATTCTTTTCTCCCTTTGCACCTTTTTTCATTCAAGCCCACGCTTTATTTGCGCTTTGTGCTTAAAGCCCCCACAGACCTTAGAGCTTTTTTGCGCTTTTCGCCTTTGATAACACTGAAACCTACACCCTCCCTTCACTTTTACCTATACACAATAGACTTCATACACCTCATAAGGAATGATAAATGCAATGCATATTTTACCATGTCTGTCCCCGACAAGTAAAAATGAAAATTTATTTTTAATATAGTAGACAAGTAAAAGTGAATGTCATGAGTACGTGGCTTGCTGATAAGGAAAGAGAGCAACCACTATAGGATACCTTAAATTTTCATGTGGTACATGAATAGAGACTGACCAGCTTCATCACAGAAATTGGAAAAACAAAAGTGATAGTGAAAGTACGAGAGTCAAATCATTTATTTCCGTGTCAATTCAAGAATTAATAATTAATAAAGTTGCAACTTTTTATAATTAAAAAAAAATACTACAAGTAAAAAACTGTTCCATTCCAAAATACTAATAATTGTCCTACTTTTGACACACAATAATATATTTTTGCCAACTAGAGTAATATAATTTGAATGAGTAAAGATATTTTTTTTACCTGAATCACAGGCAATGTAGGTGACTGTAGATCACGGAGCACATTCTTGAAAAATCTCTTCAGTCTAAATCTGTACAATTTGGCATCTTCAAGAGTCTCTGTATCACTCTCACCTTGGTACCACAACAAAGCTTGAAGTTTTCCACCTCCTTGCAAAGCAGCTTCTGTTCTCCTTATCATATGATTATACAGAACACCGCCACGAGCCCATTCGCTTATATTTGTACCTCCAATAGCACAAGGCACCAAACCAATTACTCCAATACTTGGATCTCTTTTCAGAACTGAATTGGCAAATGACATACCTGGCCCAACACCACAAACTTTACCCAAATCTATGTCTTGGTGAAGTGGTTCTTGAGCTTCAACCCATGTAAGTCCTGCATTGAGTCTGAGGATGTTTGAGTTGGATTGACATTCTGGCGGAATTACACCATCCCATGTCTCATTAGCCAGGCCATTTTGGCCATGGTTAATGACACCACCTCGGCCGGACATGTTGCTTTGTCCGGCTAATATGAATATGTTTAGGACCTGTGAAGTTGAAACATTTCCTAGATCTGCTGTATTTACCCACCTGATGTGTGTTAGAAGTATTAACCAAAGAAAGGGAATCATTGTTTTCTTGAAATTGAGGAAAAATTGTGACATCAAGCAAGTGATCTGCCCATAAGAAGGAATATAGAAAGGGCAACGTGGAGTGTGAAAAGGTGAGAGGAGGTTGCTGCCTAATTGGCCCAATCTTAAAGCAAGATGTGTTGATTTCTTTATTACAACTGTATTGGGATTTTTTCTTTTAAAACCCAAACCTACTACTTTAATTATCAGCTGTTGAATAAGACTAGGAGACAAACTTTTTGGTTGTTCAAGTTTCCACATCTAAGCATATGTCAATTCCACCTATTAATCTACTACTACTGTTTTCATGGACACTTCATATCATCATTGTCCTTAATTATCACTTTCATTTCCATATCCTAGTGTTAAAAAGTGACTCATAACATTGGTCTAGGTGTCTTTTCTTTCCATTAAAATAAGGCAACAAAAGTTAAGCCAACATACACAATTACTGTAATTCACAGCAGTTGGAATTAGATGCCCCTCCAAATCCCCCAAAAAAGAGATTGCAACTTTACTAGCAACACTTATCCCCAAAAATGAAAAAAGAATGACCATCTTTTACCCCATGGTCACTAACTTTACCAATCCTTGAGGGAAAAGAATATATTAGATAGAAACAAGATTTTAACGGGAGGTCTGTGCACAAAGCATCCCGCATTAGCATGGTCTAGAGAAGGGCCGCACCTGTGATGTAGATCGTCTTTTCTAATGCAAGCATTAATGGCTACTTCCACCTATTTTAAAGTTAAAAAGAAAAAAGTTTCTCCACCTATTTATACTGGTGAATCTCTTTCTAGAATCAAGATCTATTCAGAGCATTCAATTGGAAGTAAATAGAAAATGAGAAATTCTAGAAAACACTGATTACTTGCACGAGCAAAATGGAAATAATAAAGTAAAGCCAATGCAATCTACTGCTGCAACATTTACAACTATAACACTAGAAAATACAGATACAGAAGCATTGCATTATCCACGATGCAGTCTAACAAATCAGAAATATGTTCTCAGGCCAGATAACGAAGATTTGAACATTGTTCTTCTTCAGAAGATTCCAAATAATTACTATCCACAATCAGAACACCACCTAATTAACCATAAAATCATGCAATACTTTCACAAATCTGCAGGACATCTTCATCATATTGTTAGAACCAAACGAAAATACTGGATGCAACACTATCGAAATATTTGGTACATGAAGCCACGATCTGATAGATATGCATGGAAGTCGATCAAATCTCAGTTCTTAAGTACTGCTGCATCTAAAGGTTGATATCAGATACTTCTAGAATTTAACACTAGCAAACAAGTATACTTCAATGAAGAACAAAATGTGAACAGTCAACACAGAACTATTGAATAGAGCAACAAAATGAATCGAACAAAAGTACTGGGATCAATTCAACGCCAGCAACAGCAGCAGGGTCCAAACGGAGAGTAAAGCGATAACTTGAATCAATAATTCCGTAACGCTGCAGAGTTTGAGCCTCTTGTTCTTCAATTTCTCCTTCACTATCTTCATCTTCAATTCCACCACCTCTTTCAAATTCTCCTCATTCTGAAATCATCAAAAATCAAAAACTTCAACAACAAAAATTTCCGATCTATATATCATATAATAATCAAACGCATGTAAAACAGAGTGAAACGAAAAGTGATTGATTACCTTGTTTTGGTTAAGATTCGCATAATCGAGGGTAGTATTTTTCAGGGATGAGATGAGAATTGCAGATTTAGCACATTGAATTGCGACTTTAGGCGTGAGAGCTTCAGCTATTTCTCTTTCACTTGTGATGTCCTCCATTTTTTCTCTGTTTTCGCGCTCGAGAAAGTGTTCTGTTTCACGTGAACATTATGATTGTAAAAAGTATTTTTCCCTCGCAAAAAGTACTCTATATACTGTGAAAGTAGCATTTTTGTTGCGTCTGAGAAATTTTTGAAACTAAAATTTGCGTTAAAAACACTTATTTTTTATAATATCCGAATATTTTTTATTTCTTTTCTGGTTAGGAAATCATGTATGGCCATAAATTTTTGGAAAATTCCGATATTCATATCCCGGAAGTTCCCGAATTTTTCGGACACATTTATTCGTCTAATACATTGCAAATGATACATTAGTTAATCATAGAGATGTATCCGAGAGGAAATTTTTGTAATTTTTTAAATAGTAGAAAATTTTAGAGATTATGATATTTTAAGTTGTATATTTCTATATTTTAATACTCCCTCTGTTCCTAATTACTTGTCAACTTTTGAATTGTCGCACTTATTAAAAGAAAACAATGATTGATATAGTAAATTTACCATTTTACTCCTATTAATTATGAAAGTGAATGAATTAAAAACTTAAAATTTTCAAGAAGTTTTATCTTTTTCAAAACAATTAATTAAGGGTATAATAGGTAAAAAACAGATTTGTCCTTTCTTAATTTGTCAAAATAGACAAGTAAGTAGAGACAACTAAAAAAAATGAAGAAGTAATTAGGGACGTGTGTACTGAAGAAGGCCAAAAACACAAATATCCTTGCTTCTGCCTTCAAAATGAGACCCATTGAACAGCCAAGCGCCTACTACTTCCAGGCAAGTTTATCGCCCTTGTTTTTCTTACTTTTGTGTTGGGTCAAATATTATACACTAATCTCCGCCCTTGTTTTCAATATTACATACTAATCTCCGTGTTTTTCTTACTTTTGTGTTGGGTCAAATATTATACACTAATCTCCGCCCTTGTTTTCAATATTACACACCAATCTCCGAGGTTGAGTTTTTGACTGAAAAGCTGTGATTTTGGGATTAAGCGTATCTTGTACAACTAAGCTGTGATTTTGGGATTAAGCATCGTGTTCACCTCAAGGTCCTTCAACTTCTCATCACTTGGTCTGAATCGAGAAGAGCTTGACTCTAGACATAATTGTTATTTTCTATATAATTTGTTTTAGTTGGAGATGTTACTTACTCGTTTACCCGTAAAGTGCATGCTTAAAAGTCAAAACATTAATAGAATGGAAAGAAAAATGATTCCTTTCATAGAAAATGTTACTGAAACACCAACAAGACGTTAACCCAATTCAAAGAACTAACACACATTGAACACAAACTCAAAAACTCAACAGCTGACAAAGGTTTTACTTTGCCATTATTGAAAACACAAATACTGCACTCGTTTATTTGGTCGCATGTAACACACAATATGCGACAGACCACATCGAAGAAAAATTTCAAAAGACCGAGTGTACTTGATCAGTGAGATGCTATCTTGCGACTGATTGACTTGTTAAACCATGTCTTCCAGCTTCCAGCTCCCTTCCGGATTGGTGACTGCTTCCCATCATCAACTGTGTTCTCACCCTGTGACGACTTCTTGAACAGCATGAAATTTCGAACTCCAAGCGATCCAATAGTCTCCCATGGACCCAGAGCTGCAATGAGAAGAACATAAGCACATAAGTAAAATACTCATCCACATTGGAACAAAAACAAGAGCCTCTATACTCGAACAAAAAGCAGTCCATCTACTAATTTACAGTTAAGAGTGGGCACCAACAGTTCCACCACCATCACCACAACAACATACCCAGTGTAATCCCCCAAAGCAGGGTCTGGGAAGGCAAGTGCATAGGCAGACCAGACCTTACTCCTACCTCGGAGGTAGAGAGGCAGTTCCCCGTAGACCCTCAGCTCTAACAGTTTGATCCCAGCAAACACCAAAAATTTACAATGTTGGGACATTAAAAGCATTTTAGAGCACAAAATGCACACACATTGTACCAAATGCAAATTGTTCATATGAAGTTGCAAAAACTGAGCAAAAGATCCATTTTTTAAACCAACTAATCATAAATTTGAGGCAAGCAGCTATAGCAAATCAACAATAAACTCGAGCATATGCAACTTTATAATCAAACCAATTAAATCAGGAACAAGTTGCTAAAGATAATCATAAAAGCAACCAAATGCAAAGAACAAAGAGCAAACTTTATGATTAACAAACCAAGTTTGAACAAACAAGTCGGCATCATCAAATCAGCAAAATTATACAAAATATTAGCTTGTTTATAAAAGCAAGCAAAGCTACAGAACAAAACAAATTAAGACCTAACAAGCAGAACTCTCAAAATAACACAATTCAGAATGCATCAACTTGATAATCAGCACGAGTTGAAAATTTTCTGATGCAAAAACCAAAGAGCACACCAAAACTTCTCACCAACAAAACACAAATTTGAGTGTATATTCAACACATACTATACTGATAAACAAAACCCATCTAACTTATATGTAAAAAAAAAGGGTAAAAACGCAACATTTGTTTAGATTTCTATACATGATGATATGGTGAGAATTACCTTCAGTGCCAGCACTGGGGCAATAAAGCACAAAGTTACTGAAGTCAGAACCAAGAACAGGAAGGCGGCCTTCCCTAGCATAAGCTTTCATTGCAGTATCAATAACATCAGCCACAAGCTCCTCTTCATTAACAACAAACCGGATCGGACCGGCACTTCCGAGAACCGTAATACTAATCAAAATCCGGTTTCCTTTTCCGGTTTGATTCTTCTTTGGCTTGTAAAGCAACATCTTGTTTTAAATTTCAATTTTTTTCTGGGTATTTTCCAAAATTTATTTTCAATCAAACAAATCAGGGCAAAAAGAAGAAAAATTACGATTTGAGATTTCTAGAAATTGTGGAAAAAACGAACAGCGTTTAAGGGTCAACGCCGAGGCAGCGGAAGTACCAGCCTTCTTTGCAAGAGCCAAAGGAGAAAGCAGATGAAACAGAGATCCCCCTTTTTGGAGTTAAAGGGGAGATCATTAACAAGTTCTTGAGGATTTCTACCATTCACAATGGAATTCGCAAGAAAAAAAAGAAATGAATCTTAGATGAAGGAAAACAAGTTTTTTCGAGAGAAACAGCTATGGATGATGAGTTTTGGCTGGCAATGAAGAATAATAGTGGTTTATATAGAATTAGGGTTAGGGTTTTTGTTTTCCTCTTTCTGTTTATAGATCTTTGGAAAGTTTCTGATTTTCTCTTTCTGATTATTGCTGCTAAATAAAGGGATTGTTTTTTCTTTTCCTTTTTGGTGTAGGATTAACTGTGACAAAATCAAAGTTTGTACGTATTCATTAGCTCAACTTTTTTTAACCTCCGTTCATCTTAACCCAATAAAATTTGGGCGAATTGATTCATAAGAATTTTGTCAAAATATTTTTTTTTAAAATTATTTTTTAATTTGATATGTTATACTTATATATAATTATAATAAAGAATTTTTTATTAGGTACTAAAATAGTTTTAAAAAAACAAATAAAATAATTAAGTTTAGTAAAAATTGGTATGAGTCGAGTCTTGACCCATTATATAATTTAGGTATAATACATAAATATGACCCTTAACTTGGGATAATTATGCCTTCCATATTTGAGTGTGCACAAGTAAACCTTTAAACTTGTATAAAATTGAACAAGTAGATACATGTATTCCACATGACATAATACGACGCCACGTAGGACACAAAATTCTCATGTAGGGTGTCATGTAAGACGAATGTGTCTATTTGTTCAATTTTATACAAGTTTAAGTGTTTATTTGATCACACCCAGAGTTTAAAGTCATAGTTGCCGACTGACGTCAATTAAGGATCATGTTTATGTATTATGCTTATAATTTATTACGTGACTCATTTTGATCAAACTCCTTTTGACCTAAATAAATTTGAGTTGGATTGAATTTTAACCCGATTATTGTCTAACTCATTATGACCCGCCCAATGATGTTTAAATTTTTTTTTTTCTTTTTTTGTGGTACTTTCGAGAAGACTGGGATAAATTGCACCGACTCCTTGTACAGGGGATGAGCATCACTGAACAGCTCAAATCTCACACGGCTCATTCGCACAAATGTCCAAAAATACATATATTGTCAGAGATACTTTATAATGTGAAAAGATATATTTGCCTTGGATATTGACAAATTATAGATAGTGAAAAATTGAAATGTGAAGTTACGTCTTTTAATTTTTAAAACTTTTAGGGACCCAAACTTTTATGTAAAATTGTTTCCGTTTCTATTTACTTGTTTATTTTTTACTTCACATATTTATTAAGAAAATAATACTAATTAACATTATGAGTTTATTATTTTATTTCTAGTAATTGATAGAATTTTAAAATTAATTTACTGATTAAATAAAAAGGGGTATATTAGGTAAAAATACTCTCTTCTCTTGATTTGTCAAAAATTACGAGTAAAAAATCAAAATTAGACAAATAAAAAGGGATAAAAGGAGTATGTATAGCAAGAGTATAGACACAAAATATACATTATCTCTTAATTTTCTAAACTAAACAAGTATTGTTGAACATCTATTTTTATTATAGTGGACAACTATTATTGAACGGAGGAAATAATACATTTATTTTCAGAATCTATGAAGTTTTGTCTTCTAATTTTTAAAATTTGAAACTTTTAGGTACCCAAACTTTTATGTAATAAAATTTTTAAAGGACATATCTTGCAAATTAGATACTTATATAATATTTTCTATACAAATTAGGTCATAACTAGAAATATTTTTGACTTATAATTTAATTAAATGAGAAGCAAAAGCAATTCTTTTCTTTCTGTCTTTGAATGGATTATTTGAACATATAATCACTAATTTCTTTTGTTGAGATCCATAAAGATGAATTCTTTTGGTGGGAGGAAACGATAAAAAAAAACAAGTATAACGACAATACCAATGGTACGATACGAGCAAGAAACATAATCTTATAGTCATAATAAAAATTTTAATACACAATTTTTTTTTTGCTAGTAATTATATAGAAAACATTTTTATAATATATTACAGTTTACACTTTCCGTTTGTAATTACCAGGATAAATAATGTACATTTAAATACCCAACCCAATCGTAGAGATCAAAACACTATGGATTAAAGGATTTGAATAATTAAAATAATTGGCCAACGAGACAAACTTATTTAATAAATTTCAGTCTCATTTAAAACATAATTTAAAGATCTGGAGATCAAAGATCATGACTCTATGGTACATGAGGATCTTTTGCAGAGCAACATGTTACCTAGAAAGAAAAAACATTTTGAAAAGATCTCTAGCAATCAAAGAAAACATTATAAAATTTAGTTTGAATAAGAAAGAGATTAAGAAGAGTGTATATGCAACATAATTAGGTTATCAACCTACTTCCTGAATTACTTTCATAAAATTTATCATATATGTTTGGAGTTCAATTATATGTATAATCTCCCAAACTTTGAAAGAGACTTTTACAATTTTAAAAGGACTAAGAAACAAATATTAAGCTCACAAGTAAGCTTCAGTTAGGCATCATATAAACAAGGTCAAACACATATGCAGACCCTTAAATTTGTCATTAAATTTCATTTTGACACTCCAACTCAATCTTATTCCATTTTAACCCTTCAATTCCAATTTTTATATTTCATTTTGGCACTTCTAAGTAATGTGGCAGAGTGTGTGCATCACACTTTCTCCAATAGAGTGAAAGACAAAAAAAAAGTACTATTTTTAAAAAATAATAATAAAAGATTACCCTTCAACTCTATTTTTTTATGTACCATTTAACACAAAATATTAATTTTATGATTTCTTTATTTCTATATACGTTATTCAACTGCAATTTTGCATTTTAAAAATCGGCGTTCATCCGTTAGTTATTGTAAAAAATTAAAATTGACGGATGATCATTGATTATTTTTTTTTAAAAGTAACAATTTCTTTTTAAGAGTTTCCCTATATTTTTGCGTGAAAAATAACCGTCGAAAGTGCGTTGATTTTCTTAAGAAAGAAAGTCAATGACAACCCAACGAAGTCTATCGAGTTTCAACATTTTTTTGTAGTGTTATTAATTAGCAATGAACATGAGTTTTTTTTACTCGTATTTAGTTGAATGAAAAATTAGAAAGCTAGTAGTTGAATTAGTCCAAATAAACTAGATATGATAAAAATAATAATTAGTGGTGTTATTTAATTTAATTAATTGTTTAAAAAAGAAAACCAACACACTTTCGTCGATTATTTTCTCACACAATAATGTACAGAAACTCTAAAAAATAAAATAAAAAATGATGTTCATCCATTTTATTTTATTTTTAAAAGGGATATGACATTGATTTTAAAAATGAAAAAGTGGAAATGAACATAAATAAAAATGAAGAAATCATAAATTTAGTATTTTGTGTTTAAATGATACTATATAAAATAAAGTTGAAGGATTAAAATGGAACAAAGCTAAGTTAGCATGACAAAATGAAAAATCGGGGCAAGTTAGAGGAGCTGTGTATGTGTTTTTAATTGGTTTTGGCTCAAGACATCTACAGCCCCTTAAAGTTGTCCGCATAATTCACTTGGACACCTCAACTAGGACTCGTACCTATTGAACACCTAAATTATTCAAAACCTGAGCGCGTGAATGGACTTTTTTTAAAAAATTTTAAAAATAAATTAGTGCTTATTTTCTTGACACTTGACATGTATTAATTAAATAACTAAAACTCATTTAATTAAACATTTATCTCTTTATTTATGAAAGAAAATTACCCCATACCCATGTACAAGTCCTCTTCTTCTTCTTCTTCAACCCACCATTTTAAAGACTTCAAATTCTCTGCCTTTTGTTTTGTTTTTGTTTTTTTCTTTCATTTTTCATTATAAACAAACTAATTGAATTTGCAAGAAGGAAAATAATCGGACCATTGGAGTTAAAAAGTTAGCCGACATTCATTGTCACGACCCGATTTCTCGAATCATGATGGCGCCTACTATACCCTACCAGTAGGTAAGCCAACTAGAAACCCAGAACATCAAGCAATGAGTGCAAGGGTAGAAACTAGCGAAAACAATACACTAAACAAGGACAACAAGGCGGAAGCAAACCAAAATAAATAGATATAGAAATCCCTCCCAGAACCTGGAAGTCACTAGTACAGAACTATCTAATAAAGAGTACAAGTCCCAAAAGTGGACCACAACAGAGCGTGTCTCAAAAGCAACAAGACTAGCTAAACCAAAAGAAGGAGGCAGAACAAACCCAAAACGCCAAGTGCTCGCCCTCGTCTCCGAGTCACAACTGCAAAAGAAGGTTGGAACTACTTACCGCTGATAACTGGTACTGGGACCTGCATCACAAATTAGATGCAAAGCGTAGCATGAGTACCAACACAACAGGTACTCAGTAGGCATCATAGGCCAACTGAGCAAAAAGGGTAAAAACAATATGAAAGGATCTAATCTAGACACAGAGAGGTCAAAGTGGATACGAAAAGAAAGCACACGAGCATACCAGAAATAAACTAAGTACAACTAAACTAAACCTAACTGGACCCCCATAAGCCCAAAAGGTACACTCGTGCGCAAGTTCAAATAAAACCTGAACGGACCCCCATAAGCCCGACAGGTACACAGAAAAGCAAAAGTCTACTGAGAAAGAAGAAAATCGGGATCCCAGCCCAAAGTAACTAAGATAATCCATCAGACTCCACCCAGCCAGCAGTGCACTCCCAGCCTAGCTAGAAAGAGTGACCCTAGGGGGCACCCAACCAAACAGTCCATTCCCAGCCCAGCTAGAAAGAGTCACCCATGAGTGAGGGAGATATCGCGAGTCGTCCTACCATGCAGTCAGATCCCAGCCCAGTTAGAAAGAGCGACCTGGGGACACCCAACCAGCAACACACTCCCAGCCCAGCTAGAAAGAGAGGCCCGGGGGAGATCGCCGATATCACCGAGTCTACCCAGCCAGTGATACGCTCCCAGCCCAGCTAGAAAGAACGACCCCGGGGGTGATGGTATCTCCAATAGGATCCAATCCAACAACAACCACCATGGAACATCGTCCACTCTAAGAATCACATAAAAGGCTTCAAGCCTATACTATCTCAATCCCGCGCCTCTAGTGATGCACCAGACCTTCGAGAATGCGTCGAAACTGCAGAATGAGAGGGAGAATATACATAAGTACAACAAGCAGTGATAACGTCTAATCTAAGGTTTAAACTATCAGACTCAAGTCTACTACTCCAATCTACAAAGAGCTAAGTCATCCAAACGACGTCGGCAAAAAGTCAAGGCTATCCAGTCCACACGGGTCATAAGTCTAAGGCAATGCTA